GGACCTAATGCCGGGGGTTTAAGTGGAGAGAAAATGTTTTGAGAATGATGAGGGCAATGAATGTACAGATGCGCTTTACACAATTGATGTGTGTCTGGATTGTGATAAGAGTTGTATCAGCCCCTAATAAAATGATTTTTTTTTTAAAACCTGATGAGAGGAGAAAGCATCAAGGTGGTCAGGGGTTCCGTCCTGCTTGGACCCACCACCGGTGCTCATGGACGCAGCAGTCACGAGATCCACAGCGCACAGCGTTGGGCAGATCTGCTGCACAAGCCCTCTTTAAAGGGTTGAAAATCGAGGCGGTGACTCTGAGGACAAAGGTGCACCTTAGCCAAGCCCGTAGTATTTTCAGTTGCCTCATACGCAGGTGAACGTTAGACACTAGACAAGGCAGACTGGAGAAAGTTGATGCATTTGAATTGTGTGCTGAGATTCATATTGAGAGTCTCATGGACTGCCCCCCCCCAAAAATAAACAAATCTGTCTTAGGAGAAGTACAACCAGCTTGCTCCTTAGAAGCAAGGATGGTGTGGCAGTGACCTCCATGTACTCTCTCCCAGCTCCACATGATGCGGTCGCCCCACTGGGCCTCAATCCCCTTGCCCATAAGCCCCAGGGACCACCACTAGTCGAGATTATCCCTGCCACAGTTCCAAGCTCTGTCCCAGCTGTGTCTGCCACAGTGCTGAGCAGAGCAGGTGTCCAGTGAGCACCTGTTGGGAGCGTGTGTGATCTCCTCTGACCCACGCAGTGGGGGCACAATCGGTGGGGCAAAACCATCGTCCCCATTACAGAAGAGAAAACTGAGGCTCAAAGAGCTAAGGGCATCGAACTGGGATTTGGACCCCGATGGGGTAGAGTCTGTGCTCTTGCCTTGCTGACCAAGGAGGGCGATCGGAGACCCAAAGCAGGAGCAGAGGGGTGGGGTGCGGTGGGGGGTATCCATGATCTGCCGCTTGCAACAGAAAAGGCGTCCCTCTCCATCTGGTCTGAGGTCACAGCGTCAGCCGGGCTGCGCCCTCTTGAGTGCTAAGCAGAAGAGCCCACTCCTGGCCTCGTCCACCTTTGGGTGGCTTCAGGCATCTTCGGTTGGCGGCTACAATGCTGCCCTCCCTGCCACACTCTTCGTGTGGCTTCTCCTCTTCTCTGGATGTCTGTTGTCACTTGCCACTGGGTTTTATGCCCACCAGGATGAGTCCACTTCTAGGTCCCTAACTTAATCATGTCACCAAGGCTCATCTTCCAAATAAGGTCACGCTCCCTGGCTCTGGGATCTAGGGCACGGATATATGGGGGACCAGCATTCAGGCCACTATCTCCCCCCACCTCCAATATTTCCAAGGACCCTGCTCTGTGTCCACAGCCAGCAGAGACCTCTGGGCTATGTCCCTCGGCTGGCCGGATCGACCTTCCTGCCTCAGTCCCCATCACCCCACCACCCTCCCTTCCTCACGCCAGGGATGCTTCCTGGGAAGCATGCTGTGTCTGTCCCTTCCCGCCCCGCCCCCCACTGACCTCTCTGCCCTCTGCCCACAGGATTGCCCGGCACAGCTGCAGACCTAGAAAAGAGAAAGCAGATTTTTGGACAGAACTTTATACCTCCAAAGAAGCCAAAAACCTTCCTGCAGCTTGTGTGGGAAGCCCTGCAAGACGTGACCCTGATCATCCTGGAAATCGCAGCCATCATCTCCCTGGGGCTCTCCTTCTACCACCCGCCCGGAGAGAGCAACGAAGGTGAGCCCCCCGGGGTGGGGCACTGGGGCAGGGGGCCGAGGGCATCCACCCTATCAGGTGCAGGAACCCCGAAAGGGCCAGGCCCAGGGAAATGCATCCAGTGAGCACCCGTGGAGCCCTGACTGTGGGCCAGGCCTGGGCAGGGATTGTGCTGTCCCCTAAGGAGTCCATTGGATCGGAGCCATGGTTACCCCCCACATCTCCTCACTGTGTTTTCAAGAGGAGGACACCAAGGCACAGAGAAGACCTTGCTGGTCCTGGCCACCCCACTAATAGAGACTGGGCCATGGCGAGTCCCTTTCCTGAGAGTCCAGTTCTCTGGGCCGGCAGGACGCTATTGCGCCAGGGGATGGTGACCCCAGAAAGCTGCCATCGCCAAGCACCGCACATTGAGTGGCTTTGGGTGACAGAAAGGTATTGTTCCCGATGCACGGTGTCTTTGGCTGGGCCGTGGTATCTCCAAAGGCACTAGCAGAAGGTCCTCTCTTGTGTCCCCAGCTTCTGGTGGCCCGGTACCCCATAGCTTCTAGCTTTGACTGACTTCACGCCTTCATGAGGCCGGCTTCCCGCTGTCTCCAGTTCACTCTTTTGTAAGACGTCACTCAGCTTAAATAGATTAAGACACCACCCTCTCCCTCACTCGGCGCTGATCTCCAATTAACCTAACTGCTAACATTTCCAAAGGCCTCATTTCCAAACAAGGTCACGGTAGCAGGCACCAGGGGTTAGGCCTTGAAGGTATCTTCCTGGGGGACACCAGTCAGCCCAACTCTCAGGACACAGCCCCATCATCGCTTGACCAGGAGCTGCAAGCACACTGCTCACTGAGGGATCCTGGTGCCCCTGCCCGCGGGGCCTCCTCCACCGCCGCAGGGACTTCCTCTTGGTGGAAGGAACGCATGGGGCCGGCGGTGCTTCCATCCGCGTCTTCTTGCTCTGTCATCGCACAGTTGCTGCCGCAGTGGCTGCTTTTGAGAAGCGCGAAACCTAAAACCTTAAGTTGCTTTCAGCCTTATTTCCATGAACTGAATGGCGGCAGCGTGGATTCCCTGCCCGTGCCTCCAGACTTAGCTTCCAGAATCTAAAACAGGAATCCTGCCAACCGGCCTGGATGATGGAGCACAGGTTTATTATTGGTTTTTTAAAAGTTAGCCACTCAAAAACAAACCAGTTAGCACAGGTGCGAAGAAAACAAGCAATTATCCGTCTTTTCAGATAACCCAGAATTGGAGATTATATAACATCTGATTATATAACATCATGAAGATGACTATCAATCCATCTGATTATATAACATCATGAAGATGACTATCAATCCATCTTCTTCCAAACCATCCATGTAGCTATAGATAAGCAATGATAAAAAAAATTAATATTTTTGAGAATTTGATTTTACCCAGGCCTTCTAGGATGGTTTGGCAAACTGCTCCGGACTAACCTCCTGGTTTTGTGCAGCCCCTGAGCTGAGGGCTCTGCACTAAATAGAAGAAGAGGACAAAGAAGGAGGAGGGGAGCTCATGGCACATAAATATCATGTGAAATTCGAATCGCATCGTCTGGAAATGAAGCTGTATTGGAATGCTCCCCCTGTCTGTGGACCAAGGCCGTGGGGACGCAGCAAGACTCAAACAGCTCAGAGGGGGACACCCAGGGTCAGGGGCCTACGTGGGGCCACCCCTGGCAGCAGACAGAGTCCCGGCACGCAGGAAGTCGCAGGGGATGGAAGAGGCACCTGCTCTGCTCGATCTCTCTTATAGAAAAGGCCAACCCCGCAAGGAGGCGTCGTCATCAGGCCTGATTGACAGATTGGACTGCGCCCCACCCCCACCAGTCCCTCACCAGCACATTCCTTGTCAGGTTACAGTCCATCTTTGCAGTGACCAGTGTTTGATCAACACTTCTCTTTGTGGTAATTACGATGCAACATTTCCTAATGAATGTGCTAAGCAAATAAACAGCCCCACTGTACGCGCCGCTTCGGGCGATCAGACGGGACATTAGAGCCGTGGCAGTATGGGCTTCCATTTCTCCAGACAAGGAGTGGCCCCAGGTTCCGCCACCATCCACCCTCTCACCCTCCAAAGTCGCAGTAGCCCGAGAAACCAGACAAGCAGAGGCACAGTACTAATACTAACTGCACGGTTGGTTTTCTGCATGGCTCCTTCCCAAAGAGAGTTAAAGGCCACGAGAAAGCCACATCCCACTGGATGTCAGACCCACGGAAAGAAACAGCAGCAAAGGAGCCAGCGTTATCGCCATGGGCGACTGAGAGTCCCATTCGGCTTTAGCTTCCTGGAGGGACACAGGTGACGCAGCGGTCAGCTGCTGATGGCAGGGCCGATGGGCAGTTCTGTAAGAACAACTTTAGATGGCAGAGATGGAAGTTTTCAAGGTCAAGTTTGGTGGAGGCCAACGGACACAGCACCCCTGTGGCATTGGGGGGTCTGGCCAACCCCGGACTTCCTTTAGAAGAAAGGCCTTTCTAGGGAGACAGGGATGTGGGTTCAAATCCAGACTCAGTGGTTCGCCAGCAAGCTCTCTGCAGGCATCAGGATCCTCATCTGTAACATGAGGACGGCCATGGCCGCCCATATGTCGTCATCAACATAAACTGAAATGCCATGTACGGTGAGCGTGGCACAGGTGGGGCCCGTGAGAGGTGTGCAGCCAGCCACGGTGGCAGCGTGTGGCCCACCCAGAAAAGGCAGGCAGGTCTGGGTACGATGGACGGCAGTGACCAGCCTGAAAAGGGAACCGTAGGACGGACGCCATCCCATTGACAAACAGCCTCGAAAAGCATCAGGCCCCTAGGGATACGTTTAACCAGAGCGTGCAAGGCTTGTGCACTGGCAACAATAGGACACCCAGTGCAAGGAGATGGAGGGACACGGATGGCCTTCCGTGGGTGGGTGACTTAATAGGGTTCCAGTGTCAACACAAGCCCCTAAACAACCGATACATTCAATATAAGCCGCCATCAAAATTCCAACGACCTTCTGCACAGGGTTGGGGAAAGGAGGTGCCGCTGATGCCGCTGCCCTGTGAGGGGGCCTTGTTCACGTCAGCTCATGCTGTCTAGGGTGTGCTATGGTTGAACTCCCAGCCTTGCTCTCAGGACCCAGCCCTCTTCTCGCCTAAATTGTTAGAGGTGGTCAGGGTGGGGCCTGGCCAGTGTCCCATGGTGAGAGAGACTACATGGTGGCAGGTGGCTCCGCCCACCTCAGGCATGCATACAGCGCTAGCGTTTCTTGGAGTGTGGTCCTGGGCAGCTCCTCCTCCTCCTGCGGACAGGGGGCAGTGACGCTGTGGCCCTCGAAGAGCGCAGGCCTGGGAGGGCGGCCTGAGACCTCATCACCAGCCTCGTTTCAGGCTTGCAGGTCCCTGACTCAGAGAGCTTTGGGCGCTTGTCCAAGGCCACAGAGCAGGATCAAGCCGGGTCCTGACACACCCAGTCCTCTCTGCCCCGAGAGCCCCCCTGGTTCTCTGCACAGCAGCAGGCACCCCATGGGCGCTCAGAAAGTAAGTGGAGTGTGACCATTCTGACTAAGCAGTCTAACCCCTACTGTCTGGAAGGCCCCCATGCCAGGCCAGACCTTCTGCCAGGTGTTTAACCCTGATGACCCAGGAAGAGCTGGGGCCACCATTTTCCCGGTGAGCAAGCAGACCACAGCCCAGAGCGGTCACGCGGACAGTGACCCAGCCAGGTCCAAGGGGATGGGGGGTAGCCCTGGTGGTCACCAGCTCCAGAGCCTGTTGCCCCATCTCTGAGAGACCCCAGAAGAGACCAGAGCTGAACAAGCACACGCCCCTCAACTTCTCCTTCCTCTTCTCCCGGCGCAGCAGGCGTGTTGGGACTGGTGCCCAGAACAAGGCTTTTGCAGGTAAAAAATGGTGGCTGTGGGTAAGCTCTCAGAGGGTCAGGGGGACCCTCAGCACCCCTCTTCCTGATACACTGCCTTGGACACAAGCACCCAGAAGCAGAGAGCCCAGCTGCATTGATCTTGGGATACATTATTGGACTTTACCCCTGCGTTCTTAACACCTGGTGCTATTGCAAGGCAAGAAAGGTGTGTCCACACTCACAGAGACCTGCCCACATCTTCTGCCCTTCCTGTGGCCCATGCACCCTCTCATTCGCAGCCTTCCTGCTTTGAGATCCTTCCCGCCTCAGGGCCTTTGCACCTGCGGTTCCCATCTCCCAGAATGCTCTTCTGCCCTGCCCCACTTTCCCTCATTTCTCTTGAGTCGTTGTTGTGTTCTCGAAGATGTTCCCCAGCCCTAGTCTGTTTGTTTGTTTGTTTGTTTGAAGCTTTTTGAAATAATTCTAGATGTACAGGAAGTTAGGAAATAGTAAAAGAAGTCTCGTGTGCCCCTAGCCCAATTTCCCCTGTTAATGTTCATTTCCCCTGTTGACATTAATGCTTTACATCACTGTAGTACAACACCAAAACTGGGCTGTCCCAGCTTTACGTGTGTGTGTGTGTGTGTAGGTCTGGGCAATTGTATCTCACTCGTAGACTCAAGTAACTACCACCACAATTAAGATATTCGATCTTTCTGATGCCTCTTTCCGCCCCTCTGTGTTTCCCTCTCTGCTTCCTGTCTGACCACCTGTGCGTCAATGCAGAGTAAATGCTGCCAATTTGATCTTAAATGGTTTGTGATTCTAGCACAGAATGAGCTCAGTTCCAAACCGGAAGGGTAACTAAGGGCTCTAGTCTTAGCGGGGGCAGGAGGGTCCCCCAGTCTCTATCCAAACTCTTCTATGATTTGAGGTTCAGTTTCCCATTTCTCAGCCACTCTATCTAAGACCTTGCTAACGGGATCTCTTACAGAGCCGTTGCTACTGTTGGCCGGGCACCATCTAGGTCTTCTGGTCTCAGGGTTGTGGCGACAGATGGCCACATATTCCACTGGTCCCTTGAACTAATTGTTTCCACCTGTCTTCACTTCTCCTCACTCTTCTCTCCTCCGCACGGCAGAGACCAATAGTTGCGTCGTAAGTGGCTGCTGGTGATGAGCTTTTAAGGACCCTGTCCCTGCTCGCCAAAGCGTGATGTAGAAGATTATCCGGATGTCCCTAAAACTATGGTCCTGGCTCCACAGGCCCTGAAACTCATTCCCTCAGGGAATTTGGTTATGTTTGAGAAGTTTTCTTAACTTTTCAACCCCCAGTCTTCCCCTGGGCACCCTCTGCCATCTCCCTCCTTCCTTTCTTCCCTGCTTGTCTCTGTGTTTGTTCTGTTAAGGTTCCTGTAAGTCTGTCAGTTCCAGGAAGGCATGTCTGCCTCATTCCCTGCTGTATCCAGAACAGAGCCTGACACTGACCGATCGATGAATGAGGTGCCTGGACAAGAGAAAAGATGTGTGGGCGTGACATGGCACCATTAGGCACAGAGGGAACTGTGTGAGGCTACCTCTCCCACCCCAGCCCTTTCCACCCCTCCTCCTGCCCGGCCCATTGTTCATTTTGGTCCAACCCAGGTCCTCATTGCTGGCCTTTGTCTCAAACTCAGTGCAGGAGCTGGGGGTTGGGGATGTGGCTCTATGCAGGGGTCCCTCCTACGGACTCTCCTGTCTGGCGCTAGCACACAATAGATGTTCCGTAAGCATCTGGATTCAGGGGAGAGCCAGCATGCAGGGATGCTTAGCTGCTCCTGGAGGACATCATGCTTGTCAGTGTCCCATGGGAAACATGGGGAAAGTCCCTACCCCCTCCAGCCTCAGTGTCTTCATCTGTAAAATGGGGGTGATGGGGGGAACACGTGCCTCCTGAGAAGCCCTTTGTCCTCCCCCTTGCTTCCAGCGCCTCGCCATCTGGTCCCTGTAAGGAGTGACCCCAGAGGGGAAGGAGTGGAGCAGGCCTGCCACCCACCTTGCTGAGGGCCCCTTCTCCCCACGGCTGAGCCGGCTTGTGGTGCAGCACGTGAGAGCTTGCCCAGGCCGGAAGGAGGGATCAAAAAGCAGGGTGCATTCCGAGCTGTCGCTGTGAGGGCAGACACAGGCTCCCGAGTGTGAGGAGGAGGAAGACGAGCCTATGTCCTACCACAGGCCTGCTCCCTCCCCGGCTCCCCTCCCCAGCCCTGCCCAGGGCCAGAGCCTGTGTAAGCATTGTTCAGCAGGGGCTGGTAGCTCTGGAGCGTAAGCTCTGGAGCCTGCTCCCTCCGGGCAGTGGCCACGCACAAGTTGCTTACGCTCTCTGCACTTACTTCAGTTTTCTCCTTTGCAGAATAGACGGCAAATGGGAGTGTTGCAGGGCGATCAGGAATTTCCAGAGCACTCTGCAGGGCACATGAGGACCCTTGGTCGCAAGCCGTCCCTACAATTATCACTAAATAAAGCTTTCAGGCATCCTGCCTGGGCAGGAGGGTGAGGCACTATGATGACCTGGGTCCACCCCCACGTCACTGACAGAGGAGCAGCAATGCCCCCACTGGCTGCTCTTGGTGGTGATGAGACATGGAGGGTCTCTCCAGCCAGCTCAGCTCACGAGGAATGGCAAGTGAGTGGGCACATCCAATGACCTCACATCTGCTTGTGTCCTCTCAGAGCCCCGAAGGACTTCTGGACACTTCAGGGACAGGATATGAAAGCCCATTGGCCCTTTGTTGGCTGTGTGAGTGTTGGGTTTTGAATCAGCAAGGGTAGCAGACAATGCCAGGAGCAGAGAGAGCAAGGGGAGCCGCCCTCACTCTCCCCCAACCCCAGCCCCTGGGTCCCTGGCCTTCAGAACCCAGGCTTTAGGGAGGACCAATGGTTATGTGCACCCACCACGTGCCAGGCCCCAGGCTCACAAGGCCCTGAACGTATCCCTTTTAACAGCTGGCCCCACCCCCAGTGTGACCTCTAAACTCGGCAGTGTTCTGAAAAGACACCATTTCCAAATAGCATCCCCCGTGTGGGCACCCAGGCACAAACTTCGACATTGTCTCCTGGGAGATGCCCAAAGAGTAGGGGCTAAGCCATGTTCTCACTGCAGTTCAGGGTTTGGAATGCCCCAGACCATACCTCCTATGTTTTATTTGTAAGTTTCCTGTGGTAAAATATGTACCACAAAAAGATTGCCACCAAACCACCTCTACATGTGCAATTCAGGACCATTAATCCCACTCACCGCCTGGTACTGCCATCACGTGCCATTTCTCCCCGAAAGCTTTATGTTGCCCCAAATGAACATTCAGTGTCCTTTCAGCAGTAACCCCCACTGCCCACTCCCCGGCCACTGGGAGCCATGGACTCATTCGATGGTTACACCCACATCTAGTCCGGACAGTTCATAAAGTGGGGTCATGACATCGGTGTCCCTTCCTGTATTTCTGACTTCGTCATTGCCTTCTGACTTTCGCAGAGGCTCTCTGAGCTTAAGGGTTGCCCCATTTTTCAGGTGAGAGAACTGAGGTAGGGAAAGTGAAGTCGTGTACCCAACATCCCATAGCTAGAACAGAGTCCAAGGTGGCAAGGAGGGGGGCTCTGAAGCCAGGTGCCTGGGTTCAATTCCTAGTTCCCCACTGATTCTTCCTGGCCTGGGGAAGTCCCTTGCCCCCTCTAAGAAGCCTCTGTTTCCACGTCCATGATTCACATAGAGACTTCTTGCATGGGGCTTGGCACACTGGGCAAGGAGACCACTGTCCTCCCGGTGATCAGTGTTGGTGACTTGGCAGAGCTGAGTTTCAATCGTCTGGCCTATGTCACCCCACCTCCTGCCCACTTCTGCTCCCTGCAGGCTGCGCGGCGGCCCAGGCCGGGGCAGAGGATGAGGGGGAGGCGGAGGCAGGCTGGATAGAGGGTGCGGCCATCCTTCTCTCCGTCATCTGCGTGGTCCTTGTCACGGCCTTCAACGACTGGAGCAAGGAGAAGCAGTTCCGGGGCCTGCAGAGCCGCATCGAGCAGGAGCAGAAGTTCACGGTCATCCGGGCCAACCAAGTGGTCCAGATCCCAGTGGCGGAGATCGTGGTCGGGGACATCGCCCAGATCAAATATGGTGAGTGCCCTTGCCAAAGAACCGGGTCAGAGGACTGGAGTCTGGGCAGGTTCCAGGTGAGGAGCCCCGCAGAGGCAGAGAAATGGCTTCCGAACGCAGGGTGGGTCCCCAGCCATGATGTCTTCAGAGACTTCTGAGGATCGTGTTTTCTGAAAGAAGTGGCATTCCAGCGTCATTTAGATCAGAAATGGCAGCTACCCAGCGAGCGTACCACTGCTCTCTAAACCTTTATGCATGGCAGACATCACTAATCGTTCACAGCTCAGAGCCTTGATCCAACCTCAACACAGACACGTCAAGGGCTGCTAATGATACACAGAATGGATTTATGGGATGAGATCCACTTCCCAGGCCTGATGTGGTCACAGACAGGTGATGTTTAGACTGGAGAGGGAGCAGACGTGGAGGAGCAAATACAGCAGGTCTGCAGTCCTTCCATAAAGAAAGTGGGCGGTCTGGTACTCAGCGTTTAGGGGAGAGATAAAGGCAGAAGGATGAGGAGGCAGGGGGGGTCTCAGTTTCCCTTGATAGTGTGCTTGTCTTGGGATCTTCTCAGCTGAGCTTTCCAAAAGAACTTCCCCAAACTACAGAGGAGACTAGAGACCGTATCTTAAAATCCAAGCATCTCTAACTTGAGAAATGTGGACACCCCCCACCCCCCAAATCCCAGCCAGGCTGGGAGAAGCCCTTCATTTGCTGTGCGGCGCTGCCTGCCAGAGCTGCCGCATGCTGCTCAGCCCTGCGGACCTTGCTCTGTCCACCTTGGCCCCATCTCTTACTACCTTTGGTCAGAGCCGTCCTAGTTCCTGCTCCCAGAGAGCTCCGGGCATCTGCTCCCCACTAGTGAGCCTTCCCTCTGAGTCATGCCCCCATGGGGACATTCTGGCCTCCCCAGACCCCTTAAACCTTGCCAACTCCCCGCCCTTCCTCCCACAGGCGACCTGCTCCCTGCCGACGGCCTCTTCATCCAGGGCAATGACCTCAAGATTGACGAAAGCTCCCTGACTGGGGAGTCCGACCAGGTGCGCAAGTCTGTGGACAAGGACCCCATGCTGCTGTCAGGTGAGCTGCAGCTGACCAGGAAGGGGTTCCCTCCCATCCCACCTCCGTGCATGGGACGGGAGCGCTGGTTTTCCCTTCCCAGAGGCTGGACGGGCCAGAGACTTTGGTCCTTGATGCTGGGCTTTCTGGGCAGCCACGCCCCAAGGAGAACTACTTCTATCTTCATCAGTAAATGTGCCTACTGTGTGCTTGGCACTGTTCTATGCCCTGGGGAAGGAATGCCTGCTCCCACGGCCCCGCGTGTTTTCTGAGGAAGAGAGAACTTGAAACCTACCTTCAGAGATGAGAAAGAATCAGTGAGGAGACGCCTACTGTGTGCCAGGCCCTGGGCCGTGTGCTGGGGTGACAGCAGTGATAAAGCCCCAGCCCTGAGGAGAGTGGGAGGCAGGGGGACATGACATGTCTGGGGAAGATAAAATGGGGCAACAGAAAGCAGATGGTGGGAGATGGTGGGGGGAGCCTCTGAGGAGAGCTACGTGGGAGCAAAGGCTTGAAGATGAGAAAACCTGGCCGTGTGGGTGTTACGGGACAGCGAGGGCCACGGCTCAGGGGCAGGGGTGTGTCCTCCTGGGCCACAGTCAGAAGTCCGGACTTGTCCTGAGTGTCCAGAGCCAGGCCTTAAAGTGAGCCGGTGGTGTCTGCCTTCTGCAAAGGCCACCCTGCCACTGCAGGATGGTGGAGGGGAGGCCTCCCAGGGTGAGACACTGACCTTCACTCTCCAGCAGTACTCACAAGCACCCTCCGAGCCTGGCTGGTGGGAGGTGAGAGGAGAGGAAGGAGTCCGAGAAGGGCTGGGAGGAGGCGGCCCTTGATCGAGGAGCTGTCCAGAGGATGTGGTGCTGAAACCTGAGTGAAGCCTGGGAGCAGCGCTGTGGCAGTGGACCTCCCTCGCTGAGTGTGGACGCCGTGCGCAGAGACACGGGGCCTGAGGGAATGTGGGATATTCCGGAGACGCGGAGGAGAGGACCAGCGAGTCTGCAGGGCCACGTGGTAGGAAGGCAGGAATCGGTTGGCGCCGGGCTATTTAGTCACCTGGGACTTTCTGAGTCGCCATGTATGAAGCTCCTAATGTGTGTCAGGGGACAAATACGTTGAGTGGCTTCTGAGTGTGCTGAGTCAGCTGAAGACAGAGACCCTGAGGAGGGCTGTTGTCCTCGGTGAGCAGAGAAAAGCCGAGAGGGGCTGTGGGGAGAGGAGAGAGGGGGCCCGAGAGGGGCTGTGGGGAGAGGAGAGAGGGGGCCCGGCTGAGCTAGATCCTGGTGCCACCATGAGCTGCCCATGTGTCTTTGAGAAAAGTGCTCCAGTTCTCTGACCATCCATCCATTCTCCCATGAGGACACTGGGGGAGGCACTGGTTTGAGGACGTATGGAGGTGGAGGCCCTGCTCAGGGGTCCCCTCCCCAGGCCTTGGTTGGATCCTGGATGTGGGTGTGTAAAATAGGCCTGGGTGACAATCCTGACTCTGCCTTTCAGAGCCTCCGTGTGCTCACCTTCACGTGCTGCAGCCCCCTGGAGAAGGACCCGCAGGGTGCTCTTCTCTGCGCATGGGCAGCCACTGTGAAGCTGTGCTAGGATGCCTTGCTGGGCCTTGTGGTCAGATGACCCTGGGGGTCACAGGAAGGTTAGGCTGGTCCTGTGGGGCCCTCAGAAGCTCCCTGTTGCCTGCATGGACTGGTCCCACCTAAAACAGAGTCTGGTGTCAGTGGGCCCTGCCATGCCCTGGTGTGTGGCCCTGGGCAGGTCGCTAACCTCTGAGCCTCCAAGCTCAGGTATGTGCAGTGGGGAGCTGGTGAGGATCTTTCCTCTGCTGTGGGGCCCCCTGCATGACCGGATGTGACCATCCTCAGAGAGTCGTACCAGGACGGGCCTGTGTGGATTCCAGGCCTTGGGCGCGTCTCTGTCTCCAGCATCTCAGTCTCCTGTCTGAAACATAGGGACAGCTCAGCCCACAGAGAGGCTTGAATAGGTTGCCACAGACATCTCAAAGGCCTGGTGCACCCTCTGAGCCCAGGACAGACCAGACAGGAGGGATGCTGGGAGATCCCAAGCTTACGCGTCGCCAGGGGCCCGGCAGGAAAGTACCCAGGGGAGGCACCAAGCCAGAGCCCCAGCTGCTCCCACTGCCGCTGAGAAATGCCGCCAGCCCAGTGTGGCTAAGTCAGAGAAGCTGGGCTTCCGTGTGCTCTCTCCCCGGGGCAAAGCCAGGCAGGAAAGCCCCTGGTTTTAAAAAGCCCCAGTGGGCCAGGCAACATGTGTTAACTTGGTACCCGAGCCCCCTCCGCCCTTGTTTACAGAGGGCCGGCCTTTGTCCCATGGGATCCATCGCATACGTGTGTCCCTCCTTCCTAGCCCAGCCCTCCTTTGGCCCTGAGTCGTTGGTCAGCCGGTCCTGCCCACGAACAAGGCTCGGTCAGCTCCATCAAACTCCAGACTTTGGGCTCCGTGCTGTGGCCACTGCACTGACTCCAGCCCAGGACGCCCCTGGGCGTCAGTCTAGCTGTGCTGCCTGGGGCTTCCAGTGGTCATCGCCAGGCCTTTCTGCCAAGGCACTTCTGGGTGGACTCGACCTTTGCAGCAGGCAGCATGGCACCCCACTGACAGAGGGCTATCGTAGGTGCTGAGACAAATGTCCTCCTGTGCAGGACTCCGCACAGCCGCCAGCCTCTCCAACTGCTTCCACAAGGAGCCGTGCCTCAGCCTCCTGGGTCCGTGGCGAGCTAGGCCAGGGGTCTTGAGCCTGTGAGGGTTCCAGAAGGGAAGTGAACCCTCCCTTAGGAGAAACAACCACCTTTCAGGGGACTCGCCAGGCCCCCCAGAGAAGCCTGGTCTTGGCCCGTTCTACAGCTGGGAAAACCGATGCCAGGGCAGATGTCACTTGAGAATAAAGCCGCACAGAGGGGCAGGGCCAGGGTGGGGTCCCAGCCCACTGGTCCTTCTGCCCAGTGCTCTTTCTGCACAAACTTGGCTCTGAGCACCGGGTGGAATTAATTCACTTCTGGGCCCTGCAGGAGGGGCTGGGGCATCTTCTCCAAGCCGAGGCTGCCCCTGCAGGTCCCCAGCCCTCAGAGTTGGACCGTGGACAGTGTGTGATCTCACAGGATACCACCAGGCTCTCTTGGGACTCTGTCTTCCCCCCCCCCACACCCCCTGTCCTGCTGCCCACCCACCAGAGGGGCCTGGCCTGGCATGGGAAGTTGCATCTGCCACCCACCGCGGCTGCCACCTCCACAGAGCTGCGGATGCCACCAGGAGTGCAGGAAGGCCTGAGCCTGCCGCCCGGCCCGCACTCTCTCCATTACACTGCCCTGTTTCTTCCCCACAAGCATGGGTTCCAGTCCCAGATACACCGCTTCCCCATGTGCCCAGGACAGCCGGGCAGCCTCTCGGGGCCGGACCCTGCTGGTTTGCTTGGTGACCATGGCTGGAGGACAGTCGCCCTCCTGAACAGCACCTCCTAGTGGACATTGCCACCCTTCGCACTGTCCAAGGAGAGGGCAGCTCCAGGAGAGATGGGCACCCTGAGTTCAAAGCCAACTGCTCTCAGGTGCTGTGCAGTGCAACGCTGCTCTGCCTCTTGCTCTCTCTGGGCTCGGAAGCTCCCTTTAGGAAAACCAGGCCCCTCCACCTCTGCCTAGCACACCACACCACACTTAGCTCCGCATGAGGCTCTGGCCCAAGACGGTCGGCATCTGAGCCTGCTCCCTCCTCACCAGAGAAGCCTGCAGGGACTCCCAGTGTGCACCGGGCAGGCGTCTAGCTTGGGGGCCTTCCAGCTAGCTTTCTCTTATCTCCCATTTCCCCCCAATGAACCTCCAGCCCCAGCCCACCCCATCGCCCATGCCCAGCGTCACCCAGCCTGTGCCTCCCAGCCCTGGAGTCCTCTTCGTCTCAGGCTGATGCCTGTTTGTGGTCACACCTGCTCCCCTCAGCCAGCCAAGACCACAGGCTCTTTGAGGGTGGGGACTCAAGGCTGCTCTCTTCAGAGCCCAGCTCACAGCATGGAGTCGGCTCTCTGCAGTGAGGGCAGGTGGCCCCGGCAGGGACTCTGCATTAGGTGTGCTGGCCCCAGCTGTGCTTGGCCCCCTCCCCTGCCCTCCCAGAGATGGAATGCCTGGTGGAAGCTTCCCCAGACACAGGCTGCATCGCCCTGAGACCCCAACACTGGTGGGGACGACCTCAGCCAGCCCCACCCCGTTTTGCAGAGGATGAGACTGACATCTAGAGACGAGAGCGGACCCACGACACATGAGAAACAGACACCAAATGAGTCCCAGGCCCCCAGGCCCCCAGTCCAAGGCTGTCTCTATCCACCTCCAAACCCCTGTGCTGTTACAGGGCGCCCAGCTCCTCTCCCCAGCCACCTCCAGAGGTGTGTGTGTTCTAAGGGCCTGAAGAAGGAGGCCCAAGCCGATAAGGGATTCCCATGGAGACCAGGAGCAATCAGGTCCTGGGCCAGGCCTCACCAGGAAAGGGTCCACCCCACCACTCCTCTGGTGCTTCCTTGGGGAGACCCCAAGGTCTCCCTTGCCTGTTGCTCCACCATTAGCACCTGGCCTGGTAAGCGTTACCCCCTGCAAGAGCCTGTGGGTCTTGAGGTAAGCAGGCGGGTGGAGGTGGGCCAGTTCTCTGAGAGGCCACAGCCCGGTGAGGTAGAGAGGTGAAGGTGGAGTGAATCTGACCCTTTGGAGGCCGTGTTGGGGCAGGGTGGGCTCACCATGACAGGTGAGAAAGGAGGGAGGGGAGGGCAGGAGCTAGGGCTCCAGCCACGGGACAGGTTCCGTTTGAGGAGGCAGAAGGGGGTCCTCTGGGGGTCACAGCCTGGAAGTCCCGGAGAACTGTGGGGTGGTCCTGGGAGAGAGATGGAACTCCCAGAGGACTCAGGGGAGGCCCCCTCAGAAGAAGGACCACTTATCCTGAGCCCAGAGCCAGAGGTGGGCGATGGGAGGTTGGGGCGGGGCGGGCGTTGAGGCTGCGGTAACAGTGAGCAAGGGCAGGGGGGCTGGACCCAGGGGAGCTGGGTGTGCTCCAGTGGAGAGGACATGTGGCTGGACACAGCGGCAGAGCCTAGCAGGGGCCAGAGCAAGGACTGGGCTGAGGCAGGGCGGGGCGATCCCCAGGGCTGGGCAGCTGCCAGCTGCCTGCAGTGATGGGAGCAATTCGATTGGAGGGTGATTTGGGGGGATCTGATGATCTCGGGTGGAAAGTAGGCCCTGTGACTTTTTCCACCCCCTCCTGCAGTAAGGAGGGAGGATCGGGCTCCCCGTTTCCACGCTACCAGAACCGGAGAATGAACACATGCATTCATTCTCCAGGGATTGTTTTTCGTGGTTTTGGACCAGGGTGTTAGGGCTGTGGACCTATGTGAAGAAGAGATACATGGGGGGCTGACTTTCAAGTGGTGGCTCTGCCCCCACCAACCACCACCAGCTGGGTGACCTTGGGCAAGCCACATGCCTCCTCTTTCTGAGCCCCGGCTTCTTGCCCTGTCACTGAGAGTTGAGTGAATTTGACCCTTTGTACATAATTCATTAAGGAGCCTTGGTGGCATGGTGGGTTATGAGGTGGGCTGTTCGAAACTACTCCACAGTGGAAACATTGAGGTTTGCTTCTCCTGTAAAGAGTTACAGCCTCAGAAACCCACAGGGGGCAATTTGACCCTGTCTAATAGGGTCACTGTGAGTCAGTGAGTGAGGTCATTTGCTGAGCGTGTAGAGTCTCCATTACAGATGTGCTGCTTTGCAAGGGAAGGGCTTAGGGTCATGCCTAGCACACAGTAGATGTTTTATCAGAATCAGTTTGGCAGTGGGGGGGAGGGTGTCTCGTTGCCTTCTGTGTGCTTGGGATGCAAGAAAGGTTTCAAAGGAGTTTCTCTGTTCAAGAGCCCACCGTGCCCTCCCCTGCCCCCATAGGAGCTTCCTGGGCTTCAGTCTCTTGCTCTGTCAAAGGCTGGTGTTTGGCCAGCCCTCACCCAGCCCCCACGCAACCTGAACCAGTGCACAGGAAAGCATCTTGTGAGCGAGTTATTATCATCGTCCAAAAATTACAATGGTTGTCAAGGTGACTCAGACTCACGGCAACTCGGTGGGTGGAGAACAGAACCGTTCTGTACTGAATGGCAAACGCTTCCATGAGCCGATGCTGGCCCCTGGTGACCCTGCAGGACAGAGTGGAATGGAGTAGAAAGCCCCGTCTTTCTCCCACGGAGCATCTGGCAGTGTCCAGCTGCTCACCTTTTGCCCTGCAGCCCAGCTTGTGGCCACGACACCCCTGCGGCTCAGCTCCATGGGATTGTTCGTGTTAACCTCTGTCGTCTTTGAGTGCCAGCCTTTAGGTCTTGCCAACACAGGGGCTCTGGGCTCTCCCTGTGATGAGAAACATCTGGCCTAGGATGCTTGGCCTGGAAGCCAGGTCTAGACTCCTTCCATGTGCACTCCGCCCATGGTCCCACCTTCCCTCTCTAGGGACAAAAGGCCATTGTCCCTCTGTCCTGGGAGTAGCCAAGGAGCCAGATGAACTGTTCCCCAGCTGTGAGTCCTAGTCTATGGCAGCTCACTGAGCTCAGCACCCCTCGTGGGCCTTCCGGGCTTGGTTGGCCCCTCTTTGAGGGCCTGTCTGTAACTCACTTTAAGATTTTGATGTGCTGGAGATCAAGAGGCTAGAACCACACACACACACACACACACACACACACACACACACACACTCCCCCTAAAGCCAGATGTCACTCGGATCTCAGCACAAAGGGAAGAAAGCAGGAGGCGTTTGCTGGCGGTTCAAGTCCAGCGCGTGGTAAGCCCGTGTATGTCCGAGGAAGTCTGTGCTCCGTGTGTGCCATAACTTACTTCCAGAAGTCAGAAGCCATCACGCCTTCCTTCCGAGGTGCCTCCAGTTTCTCAGTTAGCAGCCCCATGTGTTAACGGTGTGCACCCCTCAGGAATCCCCGTGGGGATCTGCTAGGTGATCCTACATGTCCATGGGATGCAATGCTGACATCTCTGCCAGGACCAGCCATCCATTCACAGCCCTGGGAGAAGGGCTTGGGTGGGCCCAGGTTCCCTGCCTGATTCCCCAGCCAGGGCTCCACAGCCTCCCTCTGGCAGCCTTTGTCTTCTCCGCGCCCTGCCACAAACTCCTCACATCAACGTGGACAAGTCTCTCTGGGCTGAGCTGCCCCGTTTCATGATGGATGGGTTTGCTGTAGCACAAGCTGAGCAGCACAAATTTTTGTCAAAAAAAAAACAATCTGACCCAGAAACCCCGAAGAGGAAACAAATAAAAATGGGATCCCTCTGACAACAGTCCTCCCTCACCCCTGCCAGCAACTCCTCCAGCCCCTGGAAAGAATTCCAGTATCCTTTGGGGCCCAGTTGGGAAAAAATATCAATTTCTGGGAAAGGGGTTCTTCCTATGTTTTGTACCATAGACCCCTGGGGAAGTCTGGTATCCTGTGCAGGCCCCTACTTGAAATAAAGCTTTGAAATGTGTAAAATAAAAAGATAGTTAACAAAGTCGTTTTCAAAAGAAGTATGGAGTGTAGTGATATATGTACTTCTTTATTAGCAAGATCTAGCAGCTGATTAAATAGCCCTCTTAATTACAAACTAAAAATGAGCAAGACCTAGAATAGCTGCAAAATGATATGAAAAAAAATCCATGATTCCTGGTGATAGTGGCGTCCCAGGCACCTCTAACACTCCTGTAGTTGGTTGTGTGCATGTGCAATGGGCAGAGGGGAGGATGCTGGTTTCACTTAGAAGTTTGTTGAAATAGAGATGTGTTTTCTTCTCATCCAAAGCCACAGACCCTCATTCTCTTCCATGATGTGGGGGAGAGGGACAAGGACTCTGTTGAACAACCCTGTCTCGGGATGAATTGGCACTTCTTTGCTGGTTGTGGAATGAAACAGTTCTAGATATTATCAGTAAAATAGAGAGTGACTTCTGCTGGGCCTGTAAGGGGGAGTGAAGAGGGGAGACGGAGAAGAAAGGGGGGTGTTATTTTACAGAACAAGGTAGTGGGTCTAGGGGGCCTGGAACTGCCTCAGGAGCCTGAAAACTGAGGTGTGGCAGTGGGGGTGTGTCCCAGGGCCATCACAGCTCTCTCCCAAGATGAAATCATCTTGCACCTATAGACACAGTTGGAACTTTAACCATGCACAGTGCTCCAAGACCTCATCAGGCAAACCTAGGAGCAGACGGAGGCTGTAGTCCTTCCACTTCTTTGGGGGAAGTGGCTTTAGCCCCTGGGATGATAACTTGGTGCCCATCTCCTTCCCAGGGACCCACGTGATGGAGGGCTCAGGAAGGATGGTGGTGACTGCTGTGGGTGTGAACTCTCAGACTGGCATCATCTTTACCCTTCTCGGGGCCGGTGGAGAAGAGGAAGAGAAGAAAGACAAGAAAGGTAAGCCCAACTGTCGCCCAGATAAGGAGATGAGCTTTTAAGGCCACGTTGTTTTTTTGTTTATTCGTTCACTCAAAAAAACTAATTATTGAGTGCCTTTTATGTCCACGCCCTGTGCCAACAGCTGCCTCCTGCATCCTCAGAACCCGCTCAGGCCAGGCAGGCTCTGTCTGTTCCATCTCCAGGGTCTTGTCCCCGTCTCTGTCTTGTCCAGTCATCTCATGGAGGCCCCTTCTTCCCTTCCACGCCCGTCCAAGGGAGTTGAGACCTCAGCTGAGTCTCCATCCTGAAGTTCTAGAAAATTCCACTGTGAATGGGCCCCATCATCACCCCTTTTGGTAGAGAGAACTCCCAGCCCAGCCATATTTCTTTCACTATTTTTAACTCCACTGAGCAGAGCTGAAAATCCACCCAGCATAGACTCATCTCGGGTGTTGGCAGAAGAGATTCTGGAACAGGGGACAAATAGGTGAGACCCTTCCCCCATCCTCATACAGTTGCCCCTTGCCCAGATTCTGGTCTCTGCTCTCCCATGGAAACAAGATTCTTCAATAACTGGCCTCCCTCCAGCATATCAGGCTGGCAACCCATGCTAACTGTGCCTCTCAGACAAAGGGCTGAATGCTCAGAAGACACAAGAAACCCAAATTCCAGCAAGTCAGGCTGAAATCCAAAGGCCCAGTCCTAGGCTCCCACATCTGGAACCCACACTCTCAGGAAGAAGCCCCCTTTCAGGCTTTTGTCTCATCTCTTTGCCCAAGCTCTAGAAGAGATCTTCATTGCCCAGAATCTCTGGTGTCCAGTGGAAGGGGAATGAGGGTAAAAGGCTCCTCCCTGAGTTCAGGTGCAGCCTTGCTACCTCCAGATCTCAGATACCCACCAGGCACAGAGATGAGGGCAAACCCCATTTTCCAGTGGGGTCACCTTAGGATGTTGGCTGCCCCACTAGCAGAAATGTTGGTGCTGAACTATGGTCTGGGGAAGATCAGAGGGCTGAAAATGACCACACAGTCCTGGTCCTCGGTCTTAGAAGGTGTCAGGGGCGTCCCTAGAAGAGACTTTGGAGGCTATGGTGAGCAGAGGCAGTTGAGCAGTGCACAGAAGCCTGGTCCCTTTTTTTTTTTTTTTAACCTCACGTGCAACTGGGTGAGGGGAAGGTGCACTCCAAAACCACACCCCAACCAGACCTGTATCTCTCCTGTCCCAGAAGCCTGGTTTAGGGTCACCACTGAGCAGCACCTACAGCCCTGAGGGATGTCCGTATGACATGCAGAAATGACGTCGCAGAGGAAGACAGGGGCAGGGTGGTCTAACACCTCAGGTCACCATGAGCAGTGTGGACAGGATAGGGATCCTGTCCTCCCCCCCACCCCGTCACCTCCACCAGGAGCATTGCCTGGAACAGACTACCTGTGTGCACCCATTTCAGGATGCTCTGGCATGCTGGTGTGTATGAGTGTGGGTGAGTGGGGTGTGTGTGTGCGCGCGCGCGCGCAGATGAGACTGTATGTGCTTCTCCTTCATTAACATGTTTCAAAAATCATCACACAGGTGTGAAGAAGGGGGATGGCCTTCAGCTACCAGGTACAGTAAGACCCTCTCAGGGTAGATGGGACTCTTAGAACTAGCAGTAGCCTTTGACTGTGGGGCTAGGCCTTGTAGACCGTCAGCACACAGTTGAAGGGGCTTCATGACCCAGGGAAGCTCTGTCCTGCCAGGCCCGCCCCCTCTGTGCCCTTGAGGATGTCAATACCCCACTCTGCCGACCTGGCCTGACAGTGCTTCTGCTCCCACTGCCACCCACCGTCTTAGTATTGCAGCCCTCACACAATGCCTCACTCGTGCCACACGACCCTGCAGCCCCTTCCCCCCTCACCAGCACCCTGCCCACTCTGCTGGCTGCCCACAACCTCACGGAGGGTCCACCTCACCCGGCATTCTCTGCTCCTCTCCCTCCCACAAACCCCTTTTCTTCTCTTGCCAAAAGAAAGCGTAACAGGGCAAACTCAGTCATGTCAGAGAATTTTTCTTTTCTAAATTAAGGAAACTCTTTGGTGTCATTTCTGTCTCGTGCACAAAAATCAATATGTTTGATACCACCTTTTCAACGGCAGTCCCTCTCCTCTGGGGGTTTCCAAGGCAACCTTCTGAGTGCTGGTTAGGACAGGTGGAGCTTGTGCCGGGCCCCCAACAACCTGATTCAAGAACGCTAAGCCTGTTGCATCTTCACCGTTGGCACGTGTGCAGACTGCCGTTCTGCCGGACTGTGTTGATGGTGGTTGGAGGGGACACCGCTCCCCCCACCTGAAGGGTTGGCACTCACACTTTATCTGCATTGGGTATTTTTTAATGACTCCTGGTCATTGACCCCTCTGGCCCTAGTGGGAATCCAGTCCCCTATCCTGCTAGGAGCCCTCTCTGAAAAGGGACCCTCAGTTGGCTGGGCCAACAGGGAGCCTCGGTCTAGACCGCAGCACTGAGCTGTGTCATGCTGCCCAACCTTGCTGGTCATCCTACATATTTTCTTTCAAAGACCCTCCATGCCTGCGTTCCCCACCCCCCCTACTCCTTTGGCATCTCAGTGGGATCATCTCCCCAACGTTGTGTTTCTTGATTTCCAGTGGGAAAAAAATGTTTTAAGACGATAGCCATGTGATTGATGTCCTTACCAGTTGGTTCATGCCCTTATTGTTGTTGCTGTTCTGCGTTGTGCCTCTCCTCCATTGTGACACACTGCATTTTCCATCCCTCCCACCCCCAGCAGCAGCAGATGATGCGGCAGCTTCAAATGCTGCAGATAGTGCCAATGCCGGCCTAGTCAATGGTATGTCTCCGATGTCGAGCTCTCGGTCTTGGTTGGATGGGCATCTCTCTCCCCACCCCAACTCTGGGCTTTCCTCTCCCTCTTCTGGACTGCACAGATCTCCGGTGTGCATGGGCAGCTCTGGGACAGTCAGCCTCTCACATGGGGCAGGCGCTTAAGAGAGGAGCAACGTCGAGGGTCCCAACACAGTGCCCACTTGGAGCTTCCACAGTGGCGCTGCACTGGGACCTTGACCCCCAGTGGGGCCCAAAAGAGGGGCATACCTTTGGCTGCAGATCTGGCCCCCAGGAAGCAGCGTCCTGCCTGGCGTGCCCTCTCCTAAGCGCGCTCCTAGCCCCAGCTTTGGGGAGAGGGCCTGGGGTCAGGACTGGGCTGAAGCTGGCATCTGGGTCCCTGGCAAAGGATCCAGCCCTTGCCTCGCAAATTCCCTCGAGGCAGTGGGACCCGGGCCGGGGTTCAGCTCCTTGGCCCCATCCCGTAGCATGGCTGCACCACTGGTAGACGTTTCTTCTCTTCTCTCTCACGGAGCGAACGGGCAGGGGGTTCGCTTGGGCTGGGGCCAAGAGCTGCCCTCGGGCGTGGACTGGTGTCTCTTGCTGTGCCTGTGTGGAAGCACTTGCTCTGGGTCTCTGCATTCTGACTGGACCGTTGGGTGTGGAGGGCGGGGCAGGGGCTGCCACGGTGCACCTGGGGCCTGCATCTTTCCCTCCTCACACACAGGCAGGAGGGAATCCCCTTCACTTGTTCTTGGGGGGCTGTAGAAGATCCCTTATGGCTACACCCTCCCGTCTTCACAGCCACAGGGCTTCTGCTTACTCAGCTACCCCCTGCCCCTGGAATAGGTAGCATCTGAGGGGGGCGGGCTCTTCTGAACTGCTGAGAGGAGGGCCACAGGTTGGTTCGGTCCTGACACCATGGCCCCAAGAAAGCAGAGAGGGGGAAGTGGTCTACCCCCACCCCCAGCGTCACTGCACGCTAGACACAGGGCTGTGGGTTTCTCCACCACTGATACCACTTACTCCTCACCATGCTGGCAAAGTAGGGAGACTCGGTGGAGGCTCCCCATCCCATCCCACACCCCGCACCCACACCACCAAGACCACAAGTGCCTAGGATGTGCCACGGGCGGGTGAGGCATTTCTGCAAACATGGTCTCACCCAGGAGGACCGATTTGGTGCAGTCTATTTCAGGCACCGGAGGAGGAAGGAGGACAGCTTGGGGTGTGGGAGGCGCCGAGCATCAGGGTGAGGTGGCGGAGGGATGGCAGGGGGTGCTGATATGGGCAAGCCCGAGGCTGCCAGGGTAGGAAGCGGGAGGTGGTGTCTGCTTTCCCCAGGGTGAAAACCCTGCCGGGATCCGAAGAGGTAGGATAGGAAGCTGTTCACGTCCCAGCAGCGGCCAGTGCCCAGGTTGCTGGGGGAGGGGAGCCCCGGGGAAGATGGGGACCTCCGACGTTTGACAACCAGCATTCCATGTTCATGGTCTCACTGAGACCCTCGCAAGAAGCCTGCGTACACAGGTTTTGTGAGCCCCACTTGAAAGATGGGGAAACTGAGGCTTGGAGAGGTCAGGGCATTAGCCCAAGGTCACAGAGCTAGGATTGGTAGCCAGACCTGGCTGGCTCGCAAGTCCTTGCTTCTCCCCTCTCTCCACCCCACCCCAGCCCCGTCCCCAATCCAGAATTTCCCACTGTGCCCTGTCAATGTCACTCAGATCTTCAGAGCCTGACACACCCCTCTCTGCTTAGCTCGGGAGGCACAAGGGTGTTGGCTGCTAACTGAAAGATGAGTGGTTTGAGCCCCCTTCCCCCAGCAGCTCTGTGGGAGAAAGACCTGGAAATTTGCCTTCCCCCCACCCCCACCCCCGCCTGGAAAACTTGGTGGTACAGCTGTAGGATGGCTGGGACCACACACCCCCAACAGCTGGAAAAGGCAGGGGACTCAGTCTCCTCCAGGGCTGCTCCCTGCCTGTCCACTGGAGACGGCTGGCCCGCAGAGCCATGAGAGGGTCCTGTATCATTGCTGCTGTTGGTTAATAAATGAACCAGTGAATTTACATACATGCAAAAGACCTCCCCCACCAAGAACAGGGTTCCATGCTCCAGTGTGGTTAAAGGCCCTGGCATGAGTGGGTTTCTCTCTCACTACAGAGCCTTGAATATCTATCGCTGGGGACTCCTGGCCGGTGGCAGTCAGGCAGTGTTTTTTTTTTTTTTCCCAAACTGCTGCCCCTGTGTGTCCTTCCCTTGCTGGGCCCCTGGGCACTGGTATGGCCTGTGATGTATCTGGGACACCAGCCTGTCAGCCACTGCTGTTCCAAGGGCCGTCTCGGGGCCAGAAGCTGCAGCACCCTCTGGAGCTTGTTAGAAACGCAGGCTTCTGGGCCCCACCCCAGATCCTCTGAATGAGAGCCCTGTATTTTAAGGGCTCATTAAAGATTGAGACCCTCAGCTGAGCCTCAGTGTGAGAGAGGGGAGGTAGAACAAGAGTTGGATGGCACAGCAGGCTTTCCTGAGTCCACTTTCACGGACCTTTACCTGAGAGATGGGCGCGTCTGCCAGCGTGGCAATCTCCTTTGCTCTCACTTGACTCCCCGGCCAGCTCCAGCTATCCAGGCAATCCTGGCTCTGGCTGACCCCTGAGCGTGTCACAGGATTCTCAGTGGCTGATCATCTTAGAAGGAGACCGCCAGGCCTTTCTTGCAAGACACCTCTGCGTGAGCAAACCTTTTTGTTGGCAGCTGAGAGAGCGGGTCATCTGTTGGCACCACCCATAAATTACTGTTCCCTCAAAAAAAAAAAAATTACTGTTCCCTCCCGGGATTTGCCTAGGCATCTTTGCATAACACAAAGACGCTGGCCATCATCCCGGTTCACGGAAGGGAAAAAGAAATGTCAGTCGGGGCCTGTCTCCCCTGAGCTTGTTCACCAGGTCACGTCCCCAGGAATCCTCCATGGCCTTCATTTTCCCATCCTTGACCCTGGGGCTGGACAAGCTGAATTTTCTAGAGTGGGGTGCAGAGAAGGGCCTCCTCTGAGAAAGCTGGTTGCCATGCACAGCCACCCTACAGACCTCCTGGGTCCCCATGGCTGGATGTCTTCACGGGGGCAGCCAGCCTCCTCTTTCTCCCGCAGAGCAGCTGCTGGGTCTAGACCTTGGCCTTGTGGTTGGGGTCCATTGCTTTAATTCTCTGCACGCAGGCTCCAGGTCCCTTGAAACATAGGCTCTAGGTTACACAGAGGGCACAGGGATGGGGGTACAAAGCTAGTCTCACCATGATCCAGGGGCCAGTGAGAACAAGTTGGGTCGAGACCCCCCTCACTTCTGAAAACCCAGGCCACCGCACACCAGCACTCCCAGCGCACACGCACATGCAGGCTGGCGATTGTTCCTCCTGCCACGTGGTCACTGTGGAAATAAAAGGAAATTGCCAGCTTGGCTTAATGGGCTCTGGGATCTGACCCTATGCAAGGCAGAGGAAGGGTTCTCTGTGCACGGGAACGCTCACAGCTATTGAAGCGGGCCCTCCGGGGCCCTGTCCCACAATCAGTAGTTATTTCCAAAAACAAAAAGGATCGTTCCAAGTCCTATTTCCTCTAAACAGCCCCCACCACCCCCACCACCCCCCGCACCTGTGTTTTGTTTTGTAATCCGGTAGGGAGAGCTTTAGGAGAGAACAAGGACCTTTCTGTGGAGGCCCAGGAGTCCCGGTCCTCAGCGAGCAGAAGTGGGAGGGAACAACGGGGAGCTTGGTGGAGCACCCTAGCATGTGAGAGGGGCCGCGTCTGCCCTCTGAGTCCCCCCGAAGCAGGGCTGGGCACGTGGGCAGTAGGTACGCAGCCATGCGTGTTGTGTGGGGTCCCTTCACACACTGCAAAGGGAGCTGAGGGCACGACGGGGGTCATGTGGGAACGTACACCTCCGCCCCTCCCTGCACAGGTGGGGAGAAGGCTGACCCGAGTTGCCACTTGCAAAGCCTTTGAGACTCCAACGTACGGCACCTGCAGGTTACAATCGGTGTCCCTTCCAGGGGCCCCCATCCCCATTTCAGAGGTGGACGCTGGGGCTGGGAGAGGCCAGCCCATACTGATGGGTGGCTATGGAGAGTACAGGGTATCACCAGTGCCCGGCTGTCCTCCCTTGAGCTCAGCGCTGACCCCGCCTGTGCCTCAGGAAGGGTGCTTCATTGCCCTGCTGTGAGCCTCGGTTTCTCATCTGTAAATCTGTAGAGACCAGCACCCAAGGGCCTGCAGGGAGGACTCCATGAGGTGGCAGAGGTTTCAAGGCCTGAGAAGTGGTGAATGTGCTAAAACCCATCTCTGGGGGTGGTCAGCCTCCTCAAACTCCTCCCTACCCTGGGAGAGGGGACAGTGAGCCCCTAAGGCCAGGCCCCAGGGTGAGCTGGGGGAAGGGATCTCCTAGGCAGAGGCAGCTAGAACAACGTCTCAGGCTCAGCTGGTGGCTTCCAGCTCCCCCCACACAGCCAGAACCAGACTCCCCTGACAGCCAACTCGGATATGGAGACCCCAGGGTGGCAGGAGAAGTGGGCGCACTCCCTCTCCCTCCTCAATGCTATGCAGCCTCCCTGGTGGCAGGGAGAGCCCCTGCCGCACATCCCCCATCTCCTAGGAGTGATGCCTAGAAGCTTCAGAAGAGAGGGGCCAGCCACTGCCCTTTGCAGAGGCCTCCCTCAGCCGGGCCTGCGACTTCACGCCCCTTGCAGAGAGGAGAAGGAGGCAGGCTGTCCCTACGAAGGCAGCCATTGAGGTAGCGCACTGCCCAAGCCTTTGCCCCCGAATCCTCTCTGTCCCTCAGTCATGCTGAACTACATCTGCAGGCTTTCCAACCCCAGAGTATGATAAGGATGTCACTAAACAAGTGTCCCTCTGCCTCGTCTGCCCACAAAAGACAGCATCCGGGTAAACCAGTAAAGGCTTGGCTTTTGGCACCCTCTCCCGTGTCCTGACAGCAGACCCCAACCCTCTCCCCGAGCCCCTCGAGAGGCAAGAGCTGCCTGCCCTGGCAGAGCCTCCAGCTCCCATGGGCCAGCCTTGCCCTGTTCAGAGGGGACCCCAGTGAGCACAGACCTTCCCCAGGGACAAGCCACACCCTGTTTGTGGCACCTGCACCTCCCTCCATCTGTGGCTTGAGTGTCCGTGGCCCTGTTCCATCTCTGTGGTGACCTGTGTGTGCTGTCTGTTCTCTGTTGTCTGTTAAAACTCTCTGTCGTGTAGGTAAGATGCAAGATGGCACTGTGGAGGCCAGCCAGAGCAAAGGTAACCCTTTCCTGTTCCCCACTCGTGCTCCCTGCAGCCCCTCCCCTCCGATGCTAAGCAGCGGGAGAAGGCGAGGGGCAGGCATCTGCTGGAGGTGGGGGGGCCTGGCATCTGGGGGTGAGGGGGCACAGGTGTGCTGCCCAGAGTGCTGGGCTAAGTGGGGAGCGTTTCCCGGGGAGGCGTGTGCCACAGCTCCCGCCATTTCTCTGATTTGGGTGAAGAGGAATTAGGGAGGCCCTGCCGAGTATAAGGGGAGCCAGGCGGGTCCAGGGAGAAGCCAGAGGAAGCAGATTCCAGGGAAAGCCCCACCCAGCCTGGTCCCACAGAGGGAGGGAGCTCTGGGACACTGCTAACCCTGCAGGTCTCCCCCCACCTGAGACAGGGGGGCGGGCTCCTGTCCCCCACCCCCGCTTAAGGCTGGCTCTTGAGACCCCTAGAGCCCAAGGGGTAGAGAGGCTGTCCAAAGAGCCAGGAGCCCCCTAGTCAGTCAATCCTGTGCTGAAGAGTCCATCCTGGCTGGAGATGGGGAGTTTGTATGACCAGCCAGGATCTCCCCTGTCCAGTAGCTACTCAGCACCCCAAGAAAGTGGCCGCAAGGTTGGAGTGGGCAGAGTCCGAGTCCATCTGGCTTGTCTAAATGGGGGGAGGCCAAGAGAGCAGTTGGGGTAGGGTCTGGGGGCTCGTTCGGGATCAGAGGGGGGAGCGGTGCAGCTCCCGGCTGGGACTCCGGTCATCCCAGGGTTTCTGTGCCAGCCATGCCAGGGAGGGAGGAGGGAGGCCTGGGTGCCCCGCCTCCTCCCCGCAGGCTGACCTGCGTGTGTGAACGTGCGTGCTCTGCCCCCGCAGCCAAGCAGCAGGACGGGGCGGCCGCCGTGGAGATGCAGCCCCTGAAGAGCGCCGAGGGCGGCGGCGATGCTGACGACAGGAAGAAGGCCAGCACGCACAAGAAGGAGAAGTCCGTGCTGCAGGGCAAGCTCACCAAGCTGGCCGTGCAGATCGGCAAGGCTGGTGAGCGTGCCCCACCCCCATCCCGATGTGGCGGGCAGCAAGCGCACCGGGGGCCAGGGGAGAGCCCAGCAGGCCTCAGTGGCCTCATAAGCAAAGTGAGGGGGCTTGGGTGAGATGGCCCCTGAAGCCCATCCATAGCGACCGGTGTGCACAGTAGGCACTTCATGGTGCTGACCGACCCTGCAGAGAGGGTGCTAGGAGCCGGAGGAACTGGTCACCTGTGCCCGTGTGCAGTGACAGCCCTGCAAACAGGTGCCTCCACTCCGCTCTGAAAAATGGGGCCACGGTGCCTGCCTCTTGGGGTCTCAACAAGTACTGAAGGTGCCGACACATGCTATGCTGTGGGGCACGGTGCCTAGAGACAGCCAAGGGCCAGCTCATGCTAGACCCGGAGTCCCTGCAGCCCCCGGCTTTCTCCTGAGGGCAGCGGGAGCCATGGAAGCATTTTGAGCAGAAAGGGATCGGGATGGAGTTAGCTTGGTAATGACCGCCGGCTGCAAAGCAGACACGGAAGGGTCGAGGGCAGTGCCCAAAGGCCAGAGAGACACCTGTGGCCGGGCCTCAGCACACTTGGGCTGGCGGCTGCCCTGGAGTCCCAGCCCAGCTGCAGGGTGAGCGGTCCGGGCCCACCGTGGGCCTCCCAGCCCAGGGAAGTTCTGTGCAAAAGCCTAGGCCTCCCCAACTAGCCACTCGCCGGCTGGCCCGCCCCTCCGTGCTGTCTCCTGGCTCTAATTATAAGCACCACAGAGCGAGGAAGGGAGGCAAATTATAGGCTTGGATGCCTATATTTAAACTCAAGGCCTAGTGACGGCTCCGGCTGCTGGTGGCTTGGCTTCCCACCCCTGCAACTGTCAGACGGGCCAAGCAGCTTTATAGGCCCTGCAGCTGGGGTGGGGGTGGGGCTGGGGTGGGGGGACGAGTTGCGGGGTGTTCTCCACCTGCTCCCCAGAAACAGGTCATGGGGGACAACGCAGCCTTCAAAGTCCTCACTCGTCCCCCGAGACAGAGGAGCAAGTGCCCGGGTGGAGGAAGCCTAGGGAGGCCCCGCCCAATGTAGGGGAGCCAGCAGGCCCAAGGAATAGATCCCCAGGAAAACCCCGCCAGGCCTGACCCCACAGGAGGAGGGAGCTCTGGGACACTCTGGGACCGCTAACTCTGCAGTCTTGCCCCCACCTGAGGCAGGGGCTGGACTTGTGTCCCATGTTAGCCATCGATTGGGGGGTACTTCAGAGAAGGCTTCCAACTCTGCCTCCAAGCAGCACACTGTCCCCAGAGGAGCGGGCTGCAGGGGGTACCAGCTCCTGGCAGTGGTGGCACCTGGGCAGACCCGGGGGATGGGGTGGGGGCAGTGCACACACTCAGCTGGCAGGAGGGGCCCCTAGAGAGCTAGCCAGCCTCCCCTGCACTGGCTGGAGTGGCAGTGTCCCATGGATGTGTGGCCTCGGCCATATCCCTTCCTCCCTGGGCCTCCATTTCCCCATCCAGAAAATGGCCACCTGCTGTCTGCTCTGCCTGCAAGGGTCCTCCCCCAGGTCACCTCCTCATGGTCAGGGCGTCTGCCCAGACGTCTCTCCCGCCAGGTGCCGCCGTCCCAAGCCACCGAGCATCCCGCTGTCCCTGACACCACCCTGCTCACAGTCTCGGTGACGTGCCCCTAGAGGAGGGACCGCTGCCGTGTGCCTGGCCTGTGGCAGGTGTGCAAAAGAAGCTTGAGGAACGGTCCTACGTGGCAGCCATTCTCGTGCGAAGGCTCTGTGCACAGCCCTGACACATCACTGTGTCCCGCACCTACTGCGTGCCCGGCATGGCACTGGGCATGTTGCCCCTGTGACCTCACTCGATCCTCTCATGACCACAGTAAGCCAGCAAGCACGCAAGCCCGTGATGTGGGGGCTGCCGTGGGGGCTGTGCCTGGCGTTCTGCATACGGCAGGACAAGCAGTGCCCAGTCCTTCCTGCACCACTACCACTGCCCCCTGCCTCTCTGGCAGTGGTGGGTCCATTTTGGTGACTGCCATGCCGGCTTCTCTCAAGGAGGGACTCCTGAGGCTTTGGGGGCACTCTGGGTCACTAGTGGCCCCAAGGAAGGAACGGAGGCTTGGTGAGGATCCAGGACGGGCCTCTTTCACAGAGCGAGTGAGTGGCCGGGCGGGTCTGTGAGTCCAGGGCACCCCAGGCCCTGGCTGCCCGGGGCATGTGCACACAGCTCCCCAGAGGCCCCCTGAGCAGGTCTCCGCCTTGCAGGCCTGGTGATGTCGGCCATCACGGTCATCATCCTGGTGCTGTACTTCACCGTGGACACCTTCGTGGTCAAGAAGAAGCCCTGGCTGCCCGAGTGCACGCCCGTCTACGTGCAGTACTTCGTCAAGTTCTTCATCATCGGCGTGACCGTGCTGGTGGTCGCTGTGCCTGAGGGCCTGCCTCTGGCCGTCACCATCTCCCTGGCCTACTCGGTGAAGGTGAGAGGGGGCTGGCCCGCAACCACTGCTCGCCAGTGGGGGGCCTTGCCGGGGTCAGGAGAAGAGGTGGAGGAAGGGGCGGGCCCCTGGGAGCCCCGAGAGAGCCTAGGACCCCCCTCCCCAAAACTCAGGGCTCTCAGGGGGTCTAGGGACCTGCAGCAGAACAGAGACATGGTGAGCCCAGCTCAGAGGGCAGCCACCGCTCAGCCCAGCCCTGTGTCACCCACCCTGCAGAGCCGCCCACTGGGTTCTGCCGAATCTTAGGTCTTTCAAGATAAGCCAGAAAGCAGGGCTTTAGTTGACTGTTGTGAGCGGCTGTGCCAGTGACCCCGATACAGGATGACCCTTAGGCGGAGACCCCTGAGATCTGTTCTCCGAGTCTGTCCCAGCCTCGAATCGCCGCCGTTCAACCTCCCAGCAGCACCCAAGCCTCTCGGGCTGATACAAAGAGGCTGCGTGGGAGGGTCTTGGGTGTCCACCCCGGTCGCTCTTGGCCACTGGGCAGAGATAGTCAGAAGTCTGCATTCACCCCAAAACACCTTGGCAGTAAGGCTTGGCGATCCACTTCTGAGAAGACCCCGAGGAGCCTGATTCCACCCTGATGCACACGGGTCTCTGTGACTCAGGGTCACCTTCAATAGCAAGTCTGCCTCGTAGAACCCCCCGCACCACCCTGTGGGAGCCAGCCAGGGGCTTAAACACTGGTGATCAACTCAACGTTACAAAGCAAGCAAGCTATCCCGGTCCCCGCCGCCGCTGTGTGGGCCCAAACCCGCCCCACCAAACCCGCCCCACCAAACCCGCCCCACCAAACCCGCCCCACCAAAAGCGAGCAGGAGTCGCGGGCCCCAGGGTGGCAGCTGTGGGCTGTGTACAACTCATCTCAGAGGTGCCTCCTAAAGGGTTCAGAGAAGTGAGCCCCAACGTAGAGGAACTCTGGTTTCACGAACCCCCTCCTTGCCCCCCTTGGGGAAATGGGCTGGAAATAGCTTGCTTCTCCCTTGAGCATCCGTCACATAGTGAGGTCACCTTCCTGTGCCTCACAAGTCTCCCGGGGCCAGGGTACAGCCCCTGGCCGCAGGACGCTCAGCCCTCCGCACTGGGAACACACGGTGCTCGGAAAGTGTGAGGGGGCAGCGAGGGCTCTGCCACTGTCTGTTGAGAGAGCCGGCTGCCCGCCGGGACATCGGTAATTCCTACACGATGACCGAGCCCGCCCACTGGCTCCTGGGAAGCCTCCTCGGGCACTGCACCCCACCCAGTGCCTCACCACCCTGGCTCTCCTTCCCCCATGGTTCCCCACCTCTAAAATCAAGACCCTGGCTCCTCTGCCCTGTGGCAGGGTGTGCCCCAGTAAGAAGAGTGGCCCTGTTTGTTCATTTGCTCTCCCCCCACCCTCTCCCAAGAAGCTGGCCTGCCTCCCTGCAGAGAACACGGGGCGAGAGGTTTCCGAGCCAGAATTTGGGCGAGGCTGGCTGATGTAATTTCAGACCGAAAAGGGATCTCCCAGCAGGTGCCAGCAAGTGGCAGCCCGGGGTGAAGGAGACGGCCCTTATCATCTCCTGGTTTCAGGGTCCTCAGAGAAACGCCACCCCACAAAGCAACGCCCAGGTGGGGCCTGGAGCCACGCCGCCTGGTTCATCTGGGCCGGGGTCCCCTAGAGAGTCGCACAGACTTGGGAGGTTTGGTGGTGAGGGACTGCAGACAGTCTTTGGTGGGTCTGCAGTTCCCACCCCATCACAGGAGGTTGAGTTGTGCTAGGCACTGCTGCCAGTGCACCCCCCAGCCCACAGCAGGCACGGCACTCCCTCCTGGGGGCTGCCGTCAACCGAACGGGGCGACCACTCGGAGAGTAGAGCTGTCCGGTGCCTCTTCAATACTCACCACACAGCCCCGTCCAGCTAGCCACACGGCCGGTTCCCGGTCACTCTGTGTGGCCACCGTCCTGGAGAGCGCGGGCTTAGGAAGCAGAAGGCCAACGGGAGTCCCCTGCGCACAAAGTGAAGGTGGGCTGAGGCCCCAGTGGGTGGAACTGTGTGGCTAGATGGGGCCGGGTTCCTGTCACTCTGCCGGGGTCTCCACAACGGCCGGGTGGATTACAAGAATCCCTGTAGAGCAGTGGTTCTCAACCTGTGGGTCGAGACCTCTTTGGGGGTCAAACAACCCTTTCACAAGGGTCGCCCGATTCATAACAGTAGCAAAATGACAGTAATTAAGTGGCAACAAAATTAATGTTATGGTAGGGGGTCACCACCACATGAGGAGCTGTACGAAAGGGTCACAGCGTGAGGAAGGTTGAGAACCCCTGCCAGAGAGCTCGTGCGTTTCTTAGAACATCAGGTAAGACCATAGGTGCAGAGGGGCTTAGAGACCAGCTTCAAACTGCTGTTGATCCTTCATTTATGATCCATTGATTGGTACAGCTATTACACATTTTAATAAGAGAAATGGCAATGTCATAGAGTCCTCCCAAGACTCTTTTTTTTTTAATAATGTAAACTCTGTTGAAATGATGCTAGAACCCCTGGTAGCGGAGTGGGTTATGGATTGCACTGCTAACCACAGGTCAGCAGTTTGAATTCACCAGCGGCTCCTAGGGAGAAAGTTAGGGCGTCCTGGTCCTGCCGAGAATTCGTGTCGGGTCAGTTCTGTCCTGCCCTGTGCTCGTAGGGCCACGATGAGTCAGAGTGGTCTGGGCAGTGAGTTTTTAAAGGATGCTCATTGCACTGCATTTTTAATCATGTTTCCAAGGGGTACCGTGAGCAGCAAGAATAAAGGCGATCACCAGCCTGGGCACAAACAACGCCACTGCCGGTGGCACTCCGTGGCACTCCTTGCCAGCGAAGGAGGTTTCCTGGGGACCCGTGTTGTGCACTCTTCACTTGAGACCCTGGAAGGAGCTAGGGAGCCAGCTAGGAGCCGGGGCAGGAATCAAAGGAGGCGGATACACGGAAAAGGAACCCTAGGTGTAAACAAGTTTTCATTCTTATTATCAGTGAAAAAGAAAGGGTGCTCGAGAAGATGTATCGAGGGAGTTGTATCTATGGCTGATTTGGGTTTTGGTTTTTTGTTTGTTTGTTTGTTTGTTTTTTACTCTTTGTGTATTGACATTTCCAATAAGTTGTACAGCTTTTGTTACGTAAATCGTAACGTGCGTTCGCTGGGTAAAAATGGACCCTAAAGACTTTGCAAAGAGAACGAATCCCCTGTGATCCCGCCACACAGACACGGCCACGTTAGTACTGTGCCCTGCGTCTCTCTAGATGGCTCCTCTGTGTGAGGTAAACTGAGGCACGAGTGAGACCAGAGTCGGATTAAAGGAGTGTAAATTCAAGGACAGCTTGATTGTTGCGGAAGAGCTTCCGGCAAGGTTCCAAGACCCAGCGAGGCAGGTCAGGGAAGTCGGGCCCAGCGGTCAGGGTGTAGGGTGTTAAGAGAAGGTGCCTGGGGGTGGGGAAACTCTGAGGCGGCAGGTGTTCAAGCCATCCCCAGAACAGTCTGTCAGCTTCTGGCGTGCTCCGTGTCCCGGATTACACTCCCTGAGCTGGCTGTTCCGTCTTGGCTCCATTTGGCCTGGCCAGTTTTCTGCTTTGAGGGGGGGGCCTTCAATTCGCCCGCCTGACTCCGTCCAGACACTCTGTCTCTACACGGATGCCCTAGGTGGCAGGTCACATCCACATAGAGGTTCCCAGGAAGAAAGGCCTGGCGACCGGTGTCTAGACACATCAGCCACTGAAAAGCCATGAAGCACAGTTCTCTTTGGGGCCGGCAAGAGTTGGGGGGGCAGGGGAACTCGACACCCACTAACAACCCTCCATCGACATGTATTGTGTTTGCATAGACCTGACAACGGTGAAAGATGGCTAGTTCAGAAAGCCCGTAACCCAAACAGGGAATAGTTACTTACGCCACGGTGGCAGGGAAGAATATCTGAGGTAGTCGGTCAGAGCCCAACCTTTATGTACTTACTCTATTTCCCCCCTAAAGCCTGGAGTTCAGTCCTGCCATTGAAATTGATCAAAGATGGTCAATGGCTCAGAGAGTGACCGCCAAGGGAAAAGACCCCGAGCAGAGACAGCCCGGATGAGGGGTTGAATCCCCGCCCACCCCACCCCCGCTCCCAGGTCCTCAGCCGGGAAGGGCCCGGTGCAGCAGCTCTGCAGTTGACTGTGTGTCACCGTGCCTTCTCACCCGCCCTCCCCCAGAAAATGATGAAGGACAATAACCTGGTACGCCACCTGGACGCCTGCGAGACCATGGGCAACGCCACGGCCATCTGCTCGGACAAGACCGGCACGCTGACCACCAACCGCATGACCGTGGTGCAGGCCTACGTCGGCGACGTCCACTACAAGGAGATCCCTGACCCAAGCTCCATCGACACCAAGGCCATGGACCTGCTGGTCAACGCCATCGCTATCAACAGCGCCTACACCTCCAAGATCCTGGTGAGTGGGAGCCAGTCGCAGCCCCTCGGGGGGATCCCCGGAGGAGGGACGTCCGGGGAGTGAAGCAGAAGGAAGGTCCAGGGGGAGCACAGTGGTCCCCGGGTTGGGGCTTTGTGCTGTCTTCTGTTCTGCAGCCGATATGTGTGTACATAGCCCCTGCCATTTCTACGTCCCTCGTGGGTATAGTTCAGTGACCTCAATTACGCTCAGCAGGTTGTTATCCTTTCCCAGGTTTCTCTGTCACCTAACAGATGCTCGGTGCCCCTCTGAGCCACAACTAATAACCCTTGGCCCCGATGCATTTGCCTACTCAAGATAATTGCATCTTCTGCATGGAGGAGCAAATGCATCCAGAGGGCAGTTCAGCACCGACAAAATACACAACACTCCTCTAGTTCTCTACTCCTTCCTCCCGCCACTGTTATGATCTCAGTCCAAGTTCAAAATTCCCACTAGACCAGTATAGACAGTGGCACAGACGAGAGCTTCCGATGTACGGAATTCGGGAAAGACAAACCCCCTCAGAAGCAGTAATGGGAGCAACGATTCCA